AAAATGCTATCAGAGATCAAAGCATCTGCAGAAAAGCCGTCCCTGTGTATTACATTCTGTTGAATTGGTTTCAAACTGGTGAGTAATCTTTATGAAATGGATTGGTACTACTAATCAAGAAGCTAATATTCCAGTCTATTGTCAGACTTAGCTACCTCCTCAGACGTCTCCATGTCTCAACCCAGAAAGGAGTGCCACACTGAGGTATTTTCACCACTAAAAATGACTTCTGTTTTAAGTTGAAACAAGGTTCTGTGTGCCATACTGCCTAAGACAGGCATTGCAGATATGTAGGATATTTACATAATAACATCTTTCAGAATCATGAACTCTATGCTCATAATGAGCAAACAAAGCCCCCCCTTTTTCTTCTTACATGGTTCCATGTTGCTCTGAGGGCTCTATAAGACACGCAGATCAGCATTTCAGATAGAAGTGGCACGTGCAGCCCCATGCCCTGCCCTGTGTCCAGAAGTGCTCGATCATAGAACTAGAGTGGCCTGGGTTGAAAAGGACCTCAAAGATCATCTAGTTTCAACCCTCCTGCCCTGGGCAGGGTCTCCAACCACTAGCCCACGTTGCCCAGAGCCACGTATTCCATGGTCCTCTGTGCTGCTCAACTGCTGTTGCCACGCATGATGTGGAGGCATTGGAGAGCTCCAGGTTGTTATGAAGATCCCAGCTGAGCTGCCTGGGAAGTGCAACTGGCAGTTTCCAGGCAGCAGGTAGTTGCCACTAGTCACAGAGCCTTCCATTCTGATAGCACTTCCATAGTTTCATTGTGAAACAATACAAGTAACCTGCTGTTACGACTTTGGTTACTTAGGATTACTTTCTTTATGTTAGATGCTAATAGTGTAGGATAATCCATTATCAGAACATACAAGCGATCCATTTGGAGTATAGGAGACCTGCACTAAAATCTATTTATTTTGATGTACGTGACGGCGTCATTGAAGTCAGTTGAAGATCAAGGTCTGTACAAATTCCAGTAAACGTAGTTTCACATAGAAGATAACTACAAAGGGAGGGCTATGGGGAGGACTAACAGTAAATGCATTACAAAATTAGTAGGTAGGTGGTTGGCTTTGAACTTACTGCAAGAGAGCATTTTATATCAACAGCCATCAATTACAGAGAAACACACAAATAAAAATACGTGGTAATCACTGCCTACTGCAAACACTTGTTTTCAAACATCTGCGCTCTCACTGAGCTGCCTTACAACGCTGTTTTGACATAAATACTTCTCTAACATCTTTTATCAGACAGACTTCTTTTAATAGTCTTCTGAAAGATATTTTAGGTACTTACTGCAATTAGCAAGCTGAGCTGAACCTTGTTTGTGCACCCTACTTCCTCTGCCCAGTGCTGGCAAGTCCTAACAGCGCTGATGCTGGCTGCTATGGAACACATCATGTAAACACAAGGTAGATGGTTGAATTCTACTCTGAATCCTTGCAATAACAAGCAAGCAAGCAAAAAAAAAAAAAAAAAAAAAAAAAAAAAAAAAAAAAAAAAAAAAAAGAAAAGAAAAAGAAAAAGAAAGAAAGAAACACCCTACCGGCTTCTATGCAAAGAAGTAAACAACACAAAAAAGTGATCTGGTCTTTTAGATTGTTCCTGTACACTCCAAAGACAACTCCTAGATTCATAAAAACGTATTGCATGACCATTTTATCTTTGGCCTATACTGCCTTTATTCTATGAGAAGCAAGACTGGCCTGGCCTGAAATAACATTAGATGATTTTTTCAGTGACTAACAGATTAGTTTATAACAATCCTGGAACTCATGAAGAATGAGCACCGGGCTGGATGAGACAGGACCTGTTTGACCTGCTCAGCTGGACGCTCACAATTGAATTGCAGTTTGCAGTCTGGAACAAAATGCTCATCCAGAAAATGATGAGCCCAATGTCTTCTATCTACTTAAAATAATTTTCAGGGTATATTTTTCACCTAAGCAAGTCTCAACTAAATAAGCTGTCATCTTCAACAACCTCAAATCAAAAGTTCATTACTGCATTTTCCACTTCTGTTCCTCACTTTGACCTTGAACACTTCTGCAGCCATGGAGCAGCAATTCAGTCTCCCAACTGCTACATTGGAAGCAATCCCTCCTGAGAGCAGGCTGCTAAAGGCGGTTTTGTAGCTGACCCAGGACTAGAACAACAAATTCCATTTCAGTCTGAGTTACAGTTTGGGCTTGGTCCAGGACTGCAGATGGCATCAAATGCTGTTTTCTTCCCTGCAAAATCGTACATCAGCAGCATTGCTAACTTGGGGAAGGTGACATTTTCAAAGGTGCTCATTGCTGATCCTCCTTTCCTTTTTCCTATACATTTCATAGAGAGAAAAAAAAAAAAAAAAAAAAAAAGTGAAAGCCACACATCCAAACGTTTCCCATAATTTGAAAAAAGTAAAAAGGGAAAGAGGATACCTGAATTGAGGTTAATCCTATTTACAGCACTCAATTAGGTAGCCTTTTCAGGTCTCAAAAGCCTCTTTCAACATAGTATCAATATTTGTGAATGAAATCTTATCATTTCTGCAGTCAGTCGTAAGGTTTCATTAATTTAAACCGTGATGGGATTCCCATTATTCCTGCAGAACAGCTCACAGTACCTCGTGATAACGTGTCTGGGAGGCTCAACTTGCTTTAAGATGACATAGTAATTCTTTATACAAAACAACTGCACTATTTGTAGTGAAAAAATTACTCGTCTTCTTTGCTTTGCAAAGTCTTACAGCTTCCTCAAAATGTATTCTATAAACTGACTTATACAGGCATTGTTACGAATAACGGCCTACAAACTGAGAAGTTCAATACTAGTATTTGCTATCCACAATTCAGGCCACATTAGCAACTTTTGATGGGATTTACAGATTGCATAATGATTCTTCTTTCCTGTGACTGAAAATTAAGGAAGGCTAAGTAATACTTCGTGCTCAGTCCAAGTGTCAATAATCTAGCTAAACTACATTTCTTATTCTGTTAAGTTAAAAACATAACAGGGAATCTGGGAGAGGGACCTGAATAGATGATCTTTCGAGGTCCCTTCCAATCCTTGACATTCTGTGATTCTGTGATCTTCATGAGACTGCACTTGAGCTGACTTAAAACTGAGCTATATTGATTTGGCTTTATTTGGTTGTTACTATGAATACAGGCAAAAGCTGAGAAATAGTAACAATCATTTGTGCCTGACTGTGATACAGTAATATCTTTGACTTTAATGACTTTAAAGCATCAGTCTTGATTTCCACTGCATTGAAAGAGGATCAGACCTCCAGAATGCAATTCTGTGAGCTTACAGACACACATTCATAGACAAACATACTGAAGTTGCTCTGAAAGTAGTGCTGCCTATTTATTTCCACGGAAACTACAACACAGAATGATAACATTATTTTATAGAGCAAATTCTCAGCTACAAAACACTATTTTTCAACACAGCCACCACCAGTAGCTGATCCATGTGGATGAGCTGGTTGAGACACTTCTTTTTGTGGGCTGACAGCTGTGCATGGCCATGCAGAACGTGGCTTTCACGTCACTGCTGAAACACACCACCTATCGCCTCCCTGTGCTCACATCCACTGTCAGCAGGTGCCATTTTTTCTGCGTGGAGGAATTTAATTCCATACCTTTGCTTCATATGAACTTTCATGTCAGACACCATTAGTCAAATTGCCCTTCTGCTGCTATCTGCCACAAAGCAAAAACACATAATGGATGTTGGTGGGAAGGCTCAGCCTCTACATCCATATCTGATGCTGTGGCCCAACAAAACAAAAAATTAAAAAAAAAATAATAAAATCACAGAATCAAAAATAGGAGGCATTACTTTTGGAGCAGCCCTCACACTTGGTTATACAGATGCTTATTTCTGTGGGCACCTTTCTGCTCTGTCCTCACCAGCCGAAACGAAAGGTAGAAAAGTCGTTCTGCTAGGCCAGCATAAATTCATTCAGCTACTTAACTTTCCTGCGAAGGTCACCGTGCGATATAACGGCCCATTTACCCTCTATGCAGCACTATTTGTAAGGCAGAGATGAAGCCCAGGAAGATCCCCGAGGTGAGGATCCGGGCGGGATGCCGACCTGCCCCGCTGGGGGCACAGCGACAGAGCGCAGGCGCTTCGTTTTCTTCTCCGGCTTCCGAGCTGACCCGAGGAGCCCTCTTCCTACATTTCCCCACCATCGGATGACAGCCGCCGCCCCCAGAGCTCCATCCGTCCTTTCGGACAGCACCGAGGCGCCGGCGCAGCGCACAGTTGCTCGGCAGCTCCGCGCTGTGAGCGCCGTGCGGGCGCCGGGCAGCTGCTGCGGGCAGCCGGGACTCGACCGCCCGCGCTCAGACCGCGCAGCAACGGGGGCGGCACCGTCCGGCACCGTCGGAAATAAGCCAACCGGCAATCAAACCCCTCCAAACCGACCCCAAACCCCCCGTCCCACGAGGAGCCCGGCTGCCGACCGCTCCCCGAAGGCCGCGGCGCCCGCGGGGCCGGCCGTCGGCAGCCACCGAGCGGCCGCCACCTGCCCGAGTCCCGCCGCCCCGTCACGCCCGGCCGCCCGCGAGGCCTCCCCTCGGCCTCGGCCGTGCCGCCTGCCGGGGGGCCGCCACCCGAGCGCCAGCGCGGCGCCGGCCCTCCCCTCGCTCTCTCCCTTCGCTCAGCGGCGGCCCCGCGGTGCCTCCCGGCGCGGCGCGGCGCGTTACCTGGAGCTCGGCGGCGCCGTACCTGCGCGCCTCTTCCAATGGCAGCGCACCTGCCGCCCGCCCCGCCCAATCAGCGCGCGGCTCGGCCCTCTGCCCCGCTCCTTTAGTGAAAGAATCCGACGCCGCTCGGAAAGTTACCTGCGCGCGCCCGGCCCGGCCGCTCTCCGCGCCGCTCCCCACATGCGAGGGGGAGGGGGCTGGGGCCGTACCTGCGCGGCGCTGCGCTGCCCCGGCGGCGGAGCGGGGCCAGGGGGGCACGGCAAGCAGAATTACCTGTAGCTCTGGTTCTGCCGCACCGGGCGTTCGCGCGCACCTTCACCTGCACAGACCTGAAAGTCCAGTTCCACCGGGGAGACCGAGCGCCGGGAAAGGGGAGCGAGTTCATTGGAGCAAACATGTCACAAGAGACGGACAAGTAAGTGCGCCCGGCGCGGCCCGACCGGTTGGATGTGTTCCGCCGGGCCGAGCGACGCGCGGCGCCCGCCGCTCCGCAGCGTGCGGATCCGGTTTGGTTTGTTTCGTTTCTGCCTGACTTTGGTCTTTTTTTGGGGACGGTCTTCTCCCCGCTTCCTCCTCCCCCCCCACCTCGAGGATCCCCACGTAAGGCTGCGGGCGCCGAGGGCACGGCCGTGCGCTGCCGCCCCGCACAGAGCACGAGGCGCCGCCGGCCCCGGGCCCTGCCGTGCCCTGCCCTGCCCCGCGCCCCTCGGCGCTCACGAGAACTGCCGGCCCGGCCTCGTGCCCGGCCGCCCCGTGCTTTGTTCTTTCCCGTAAGGCCGCTGCCAGGGGACGCCCTGAGGCCCGGGCGCAGGAATGCGGCGCGGGCCATCTTGGTTGGGTGCGGGCGTCGGGCGGGTAACGGGCGGAAGATGGAGGCGGGAGGTAACGGGAGGGAAGATGGAGGCCGGGCGCGGCGGGACGGCCGCTCGGTGCCGCCGGTCCGGCCGCGGAAGGTGCGAGGCGCTCCCGCCGCCCGCCCCAAGGGCCTTTGTGGCAGAGGAGGCGGAGAGGAGGGGCCTGTGGCCGTGCGACCTGGGGAAGGGCGCGGGGCCCCTGTGGGGACGGAGGGGTTACTGGTAGAGGGCAGCAGCGGGGCCGGCTGCCGTGCCACGGCGGCGAGGTGAGGTCGGCCGCGGCCTCCTCGAACGGTCGCTGCTGGCGTGAAGTGAGGCCCGTGGCGGCAGGAGCTGGGAACGGAGGTTGGAGCTCTGCGAGTGGCAGCGGGAACGAAGGCCTGAGGCTTCGCTGAGGGCCGCGGCGACTCAAGTGCGAGGAGGGGAACGAGGACGGAGCTCCGAGGGCTGCTGCGGGGCGGGGAGGATCCGGGTTCGCCGAGAGCTGTGGGGCACGGGCACGCATCTCTGTGGGCGCAGCCGGGAGCTGTGGGAAGCTGCAGCGAGGCCTAACTCACGCGTGAGACTACAGGAATGAGGGCGAAAGTGCTTTTCCTCTGGTTTTCGAACGCAGCCAGTCTCAGGACCGCCCTTCATTGCGCAGCATGGCGTGAATGTAAGCCGCACATGGTAGTATCGCTCCCTCTGTTCTCACACCCCGATGGTGTCACCACCGAAGGGACACCCAGACAGCAGCACTGCCTCTGTGCAGGTGGGCCCATGTTCTGCCTCTAGTTGCTGGGAGAGCTTGAGAAAACTTAGAGGTGAGGGTTTGGGAAGGAAATCAAAAGTGAAGAAATCCCCCGAGCTCTTTGTATACAAGTGTAATGTGAGTAGACAAATAAATTCAAGATTCAAAAGTAGACAAATAGAAAGATGACCGAGTGGAATGAGGAATTAGATTAAGCTGAGATGGTGCATGGGTAGGTTTTTTTTTTTTTGTTTGTTTGTTTTTTTAAGGCTTTTATATCATATGAAAACCTAATCCAAGGAGTATGACATTGCGCTCCTTCACGTGGCCTATTCTTTATGTAAAAACAAACCTTCCCTAAGACAAGATGGACAGGGAGGTCAATCACTTAATGGTCAGTTGATTTGTCAGTATTGGTGGGCATGTCTTTGTGTGGTTTGTGCTGGTAAAGCACTGCTGGAGGCAGGTGGTCGGGAGGGACACAGAAGGCAGGAAGGGCCATTGGCAGTGCTCCCTGCATCATCCTCTTTAAGTGAGGGAGGTGGTGGGGTGAGAATGCTAAAGAGCAGGTCACTGGATTCTAATGCTAACTGAGGGGGCTTGGAAGGGGAGATTATCCCTAAGATACTGTGCATATCTCCCATCTTTCCCCTTAGCTGAGCTGCTTAAGCTGGGTCTGGCCTGCTTTCTTCCCTAAACTCCTATCAGTCAGAGGAGATAAGACATGGTTTCACATGCATTTCTCAGAGGTAGTACTGACTTAAGCAGGCTGTGACCACTTGCTGCTGCCTCCCTTTGCCTCCTCCCAGCGGTGTGAGTAGAGGTGTTTGTGCAGCAACAGAGCTGGCTAAGGGAATGCTAGGCCAGCATAGCCCGGCCTGCCATTGGCAAATATTTTTGACAACTTTTTGACCAGCTTCTTGTCGATCTGGCTACATCATGCCATCCAGTGATGTTCTAGGGCAGCAGAGGGAGGGCAGGCAAATGACTGGAGCTAAAGACAGCTGCTTAAGCTAGAAGCTCTGCGGAAGGAAATATGCTTTTGCCTTTCTGTGAGTGTTCTGGAGACCCATGTGGCTGCCTGTTGTCACCCGTTTCTCAGAGGTATTGCAAGGGGGCTTTTTTGGCAAGGGTAGGGAGCATCCACTTGGCAAGGTGTCTGCATTCCTGGGTTCATGACTGCATTTGGACTCGATGATCTCTGGAGGTCCCTTCCAACCCCTACAATTCTGTGATTCTGTGATTTGCAAGCTGAAAGTTGTGCTTGCTGTAGTGTGCAGAAACCATTAATCCCTTCAAAACACAGCTAGAGCTGATTTGGTGACCTTGGTACTTGTGAGACTTAACAGGGTGCTGGACTGCTGCTGGCACTGTGAATGAGGAGCAACAGTAGTCCCACCACAGTGCTGTCCTATCTGTTCCCAGTTTTAGGTGAGTGGCAAGTCCCTCAGCGGCTGGCACTGATGCTGCCTGATGAGTAGGGTTGGAAGCAAGCTTGTGCATGCTGACCCTGTGGCTTCAGCCCCAGCTGGTTAGGCTGCAACACTTCCAGGACGCAAAGGAGTGACTGAGGACAGGGGGCAGATGGAGTTGGGGTGTGCTCAGACCAATCTTGTGAAGGAGGGCTGGGGGCAGCCCAGGTCTGCACTGAGTGTGTCCATGTGGGCAAAGAACTGGGGGAGGTGACGCTGAATGTGGAAATAGGTTCAGACCTGTTCCTGTGTGTCATTGGAAACATGTTCCCATCCTGCCTGCCCGCTTGGCAGCGTGACTGAAGTCCATCTTGGACTCTTAACAGAGTAATTTTGTTCTGGTTTTGTGTTTCTTCCTGGATGTAGTTTCTGCCTTTATACTATTTAGCTTAAGCATCCAGTACTGTAACAGCAAAGGGCATTTATGGTTTTCTGTGTGATTCTGGGAATTATACTTAGTTCTTTCTTTGAGGGCCAAACCTATTACCCATCAGCTCATGAGGAATGGCAATTAGGTTGCAGACTGCTAATTTATATTTTTTTTTCCCCCCCACTGCTGAGAGTCTGGATAGAGCATGTATTGAGATGAGTTTTCCAGTATTAATCATCAAGGAATGAATGGAGAAATGAGAATTTAGAGGTTTTAAAAGCTTGTACTTTTCAGATATCAGACTTGTTCTCATGGATATTCCCCAGGAAGTATCCTCTTTGCAGGGAAGGTGGAAAGTCAGCATGCATAACATTGCAGAACTTGCAACCACAACTTGGCTGAGTGGAGTAGGGGTACGAAATGGTTACTCAGTCCTGTAACACAGGTGTCCCTCAGTGGTGAGACCGGCTGGGGGTCTGAACAGGAGGGAGGAGGGGATGTTCCCAGGTCACTTCCATGGCTACAGTGGTGACATAACCTCCTCCTTGGGCTGGGATCAGTAGGGACATCATTCTTGGTTTGCAGGGACATGTGAAGGGGAAATAATATTAACCCAGCTGACATTTGTTGTCAAAATTTTTCACAAATATTAATCCAGTGCAGACCGTGATGGTTCCCAGAAGTATTATTTTTTTTTTCTGTGATTAGGGATCAACCAATTAACTTACCTTTCTTGCAAATGCACAAAAAATGTTTTGAAATGCTGGTTAGGAATTAATCACGGGATGAGTTTTCACTAGGTTTCTAATCAGTGATTGGGACAGTAGTAGCTAATTGAAAGGAAAGGACTAATTGGCTTGGCTGGCCCAGTGTACAGGGACGCTGTCCTGTACCTTAATGGCACCAGCTTCATAAAGAAGAGAACTGTTGCTTATGAAATATTTAACCAATGAAACACTATTAAGTGCATGTGAACTGAGGAGAAGTCAAACATTGCAACATACAGGTAAGCTGAGACTGTCTCCAACCTGAAGATTACACATCTGCATAGTTCTGTTCATTTTCTAGTAGTTTGAGACAATGGTGTATTTCATATTTCTGTATTTTATTTGCTCTGTAAAGTATACTTCTGAGTTTACTTTTTTTTTTTTTTTTTTTTTTTTTTTTTTTTTGTATTTTGGGTAATCTTACCTCCCAGGGTTGTTCAGCTGTTGAATTTGTCTTCCTCCTGGCCATATAAAAGATTTTGTATTTTGAAAATCTGGCAATCTGTGCTGTCAGTGCAGCGATTCCATTTCCATTAACTCCCATGGGGGTAATGAATGAGTCAGGGCTGTGGGGTCAGTGGGCAGGTTAAACTGCAGCAGGTCAGGGAAGCTTTGCCGTGACCTGTTCTTGATTTTAAAGTCTGCTGCTGTTTTTATAGGCAGCCAGAACAGCCTGTATGCTGTGCATGCCTGAAGTATGCTTCTGAACAAAACCAGTGTGGCCCAATCTGAAACTGCCAAGTAACTGCTACTTTTGCTCAGCTGTGTGTTGTGAGCTCCATTTGTCCCTTTTGTTAAGCTTCATTTTTTGAGGAGATGTCACAGTGTTGTGTGTTCTTTTTTTTTTGTTTTGTTTTTTTAACCTCTGTTTTGGCATGCTTAGTATTTCTTTCAATGTTAATGAATCATCAATTTATTTTAATCTTTTTAATCGCTTAAAGTTATTTTAGTTCTGAGTAAAAACAAAACTTCTGGAAAGCATCTGATTGTTGAATTAGTCTTTTTTTTCCATTGATTTGTGCTTACAATTAATTTCACTTCCTCTCTGAGTGTTTTTTAAAGGGGGAATAATCCATTTTAGTCATTTAATGTGCATGATCTTGCTCAGGTTGGTCTTGCACTCAAAAAGAATAATTGCCCAGAAATTGTGAGGGTCCCAAACCTGCAGTCATTAGTAGGCAAAATTACTCTGCCTCTTTAATGGAAGCTCCTTGGTACGGGC